CAGCCAGAGCCTGCCCCTGCCCCCCAGAGTCTCCTGCGCCCCAGCTCAATCCCCTGCCCCAAGTCACCACCCACACCTTGTAGTCTGCACCCCCTTTGCCCCTTCTCCCAGGTCACAGCTCCCTCCCAGACTTTGCACCCCCTCTTAGTGGCCCTCTCCCAGGCCAGACTCCTCTCCTGCGTTCACACCCCCTCCCTGACCCTACACCCCTATCTCCTGACCCAGATCCCAACCCCCTCCTTTGCCTAAACTCCCTCTCAGACCTCACACCGTCTCCTGCCCCCCACTCCCTTCCCCCGTGCGCCCTTCTGTGCCCAGCCTCCACCCTAGACCCTGCGCCCCCCACAGAAAAGTGCCGCCCTCGACCACCTTCCAAAATCTTGAAGTGGCCCCTCGCCAAGAATCATTGCCCACCCCACAAGCCGCCACATCCTCCCTGCCCTCAAGTGCCGGCTACGCCCCTCGGCCGTGGACACTGATACATGGACACAAATCAGACGGCAGGAAAGGAACACACACGCCTGCAGGGGAACCCCCTAACCTCCCTGGCCAGTCAGTAATGGGTTGGAAAGTAGCCATCCTCCTGCAAAAGCATTTCAAACCCTGCTCACCTAGGGAGCCGGCTGCACTCGGATTCGTTTGCCTGGTCAGTACAATCACGAGGCCTGAATAAAGATTTAACGCCTCTTCAGAGCCACATCTCCCCCACGGTGGCTGTGAACGAGCCCCCTCGCCCTGACATGACTAGCCTCATGAACACTGCTCCCCCACTTGAGAAGTATCGACTTCCCCTTGTGGTACTTGCATATATCCCCCCTGCCTCTGCCCTCCCACGCCACGTCAGCTGATGAAGTGGGCTTTACCTACCAAAGCTGATGCCCCAGTAAATCTGTCAGTCTCCAAGGAGCCACAGGATGACTCCTTGCTTCTGCACAACTCCCAGACACCAACAGCAATGGGGCTCCTCTAACATGCTCCTGATCACCTATCAGCCTGTGCGCTCCTCTCCCTGACCCTGCCAGCACCCGCTCTGGCACCCCCTCCCTGCAGACCCTACGAACATCCTGAACGGTTCCCACCATCTGCATTTCAGTGGGTCAGGCATCGTCTGCCCAAGGCTCACTCGCTACAGCGCAGTTCCAGGGGCGGGGACCGTGCGTTAATGACAAACCAAAGATCCAGTGACAATGCCCCTTGTAAACTAAATGCCAAGTGAGGCCGAAGATGTGATCTGCTCTTCCACCTTCCCCGTTGCGTGGCTACAGGCGCTGTAACAAGCTCGCCTGGGACGTTGTGTATCAGTGGAGACGTGTTTCAGCACATGGCCCTGTATTGCCGAGAGGTGGCCAGGGAGGGGCTCACCTCAGTTGGTTGCTGGGGTAGGTGGAGCTGACGACTGCAGGGCACACTGGGGTGATGACTTCAAGCTCTTCTCGCTGGCCCAAAGGCTCCGGGAACGTCTGTGGAATGACAGCTCCGAGTGCCCCATAATCCCCTGACTCCGGGAGCTGGGGCTTTGGGAGCAGCATCAAAGAACAGGCGTTTGCAGTAAAATCATGCAAGGTGGCAGCACTACAGTGTGACTTGGCTGTTGCCTCTGGGTGCCAGACGGGAGCTTGCTACTGCAGGCCGGACACCTCTTGGGTTGTGTTGGCAAGGGCTTTTAGAGCACGACCGCTGTTGATTGTGGCACCTCAGGCAACACTGAGGCCTAACACGGCGTTACTGAGCCTGGCGGTTTTGTCACACCCCTGTTTATAGCATGGGGGGGGTTCCATAAAGCCCCAACCTCTGGAGTCATGTGATGAACTAATAACCTGAGGGAAAATGTGACCCCAAAAAGCGCAACAGTTAGACCCTCCCCCGCCTCATTGTTCTTCTAAAATCTCGGGATTGGTAAGACAGACTCATGATTTGGGGGCCCTGGCTCATTTGAGTGTCTGGGGTCGGCAGGTCGGCAGTGTGAGGACAGTAGGAAATCTGGCCCCCTGTGCGGTTGGACCCTGCACCCGTGAGTTGCCCAGGGCCGGCACTGAGGTCTGACTCGGATCGTGCCAGCTTCCTGCAGGCCAAGCCCCCCGTGAACGCAAGTGAGCGTTGGCCTGTATGAGGCCTGCAGGACCCTCTGTCCAAATTGCTGTTTCTCCAGCCTGCTTTGGGAGCCGCCTGGGGCAGGATCTCTGCCATCGCCAGCTTGGTGCTGTGCGGCACGGCGGCTCAGGAGCCCTAAAATCACAGGGCGTTTTTTTCCAAACGTTAGACACAACAAGCCCAGTGGCTTGGCCCCCCAGCCAGCTCGGCTGTGCATGCGGCGTGGGTCACTGGGCAGAGTCCCCTGATCCGCCGTGCGTGCCCACTTAATGATCAGCTTTCGGGGGCTCGGAGTCAGGTGGGGCCATTCCAGAGCTAGGCCGGTGCCAGTCAAACCACGCAGGGCTTGGGGGGCTCGTGTGTAGGAGGATTCAAGGTGCGGAGACATTCGTGTTCCACCCCTCGGTCGCCGGCCCCAGGTCCCTCTCCGGGAGGTCCAGCGCTGGTCTGTCCTGCCTCTCCCCCAAGCTCCGTCCCCACAGCGACGGGGCAGCTTGTCGCTCTACCACAGCCTGGCCAGCGAGGCCCTGCTCCCCCTTGCACCCCAGCTCCAGCGCTGCCCGCGTTAGCTCCCGAGCAGGGATGAATGCTGGAAGAGACGTCAGGAGGTGTCTAGTCCCACCTGCTCCAAGCAGGACCAACCCGACTAATCCGTCCCAGCCAGGGCTTGGGCACGGCGGGACGCAAACGGAGATTCCACCCCCCTCCTAGGGACCCGTCCCAGCGCTTCACTCGATAACGGGTGGGCAAAGGGGCCTCCGCGGGCCGGATCCGGCCCACCATGCGGATTAGGGCCCCATTAGGGACGGGAGAAAGCGCACAAAGTTTCCTCCGCCCTGCCAGGAGCACGCGGAGCTTAGAAGCACCATGTGCTCCTGGCAGGGTGGGAGGAGACTTTGCAGGCTCCCCCGCCCCAAGCCCTGATTGGCCTGGGGGCAGAAGGGGGTACACGAAGTCTCCTCCCACTGCCAGGAGCATGGGCGCTTACAGGGAACCTATGGTGGGGAGCAAAGACTTCACACGCTCCCCCACCCCCAGACCAATCATGGTTGGGGGGGGGGGAGAGTATCCTGGCCCCGCCCCCTTCTGCTTGAGGCCCCGCCCCTTCCAGTGCAGCCCAGAGCTACTTCAGAAATTTCTGAAGTGTCCCCAGCAAAAAACGATTGCCCAGCCTGCTCTGTAACAGCGAGTCTCTAACACGCTACAGTCGAAAGCTCGGCTTCTAGATGGCCCCCTGGTTTCCAGGCCTAGCTCAGGCCTCCACGGGAGCTGCTTGGAAAAGCCCGGCACATCCGTTCCATGGCTGCGCACGTCAGCAGTGTGGCCCTGGGCTTTCCGAGGAGCGGCTTTCCGCCACGGAGCCGACCACCAAGCCCTGGCAGGCTGTCCTCGCTGACCTCCCCGGGAGCTCTAAGCCACAGTCTGCTCGCGAGAGCAGGCATCCTTGGGAACCTCAGCGTCAGTCACAAGTGGCACCGGCCACCAGAGCAGCTGCGAGCCAAACGCGGCCTCCGTTCAAACACGGCGGGGGGCCGCCCCGCCCTCCC